AGAAGAGTAGAGCCTAAAAATATCGTATTGGTAAGTGCAAACGGCTTGGCTTGGCGTGTGTAGAGTACGTAGTCTCCGCATGTAGTATACATATACGGTAGAGGTTGCGTGCTGAGCTGTGCGCTAGCGAGCTTTCGATCGGAAGAGAGAGAAAGAGACGTGGAAGAAAAAGAGACGCAAAAGGAGAAGCAGAAGAGAGTAAGCAACACCCGCTGGGCGCTGCGGCGAAAGAGAGAGGGAAGGAGGAAGGCTCGGCCGCCCAGCACGCACGCGAATCGTAGGGTACCGTAGGGAAGGGGCAAGATGCTGCAAACGGGTGAAAAGGGTGGGAGAGTAGCGGCCATCTTGGCATTCTTACGCATGCGCGCTGAGGGGCTGAGCCCCCTATGTGCTCTTTGACACGTGCCGCCGGTGTGGCGCTGCAGGCTCCATGTCTTTTTGTAGCTCCGTCTCTTTTGCTCTCGGTGGGCTGCATGGATGGCCGCGGCAACATCGAGTCGGCTTCTTTTAATCGATCAGAGCACAATTTTTTAGCGATTGTTTGCGCGATTAAGCCGCGGAATTTCGCGCAATTTCGATCCGGACTGATGATCATTTAGTTTCGTGCACTTTAGCACTGCCACTGTTTGATGAACTCACGTTTTTGTTGTTATGTTATGTTGACAGTTAAATTTTCGATTGTTAAGGTTTAACATTATAAATCTAGACACTTAGTAACTCAAGATGAATTAATAGTTGCCAAAAAGCATAGAAAATCACGATTTAAGATCATTGAATGAATCTATCGTTCTCTACTTCAATATACTATTAAATAGCATAATTTACATTTTTAACCACAATTAAAAACTACTCTACGGAGATAAACTATCATGAAACATATCAGTTGATTAAAAAAATTTATAAAAATAAAAAACTGACGAGTACAATCTGTGTTGGAGGTATCACTAAAATAATATTGCAAAATACACGCCAGCAAAAAAAATAGAGGCACTTAAAAATTTTTTCTTTCAAAAAGTGTTGAAATATCTTCGATATTATTAAACTTACCGAAATTAAAATTCAATGAACCAAAGAAACTAAAAAAAAATTACAAGTCCAAAATGTAAATGTAAGCAGAAGGACATCATCCGCAGCAATGAAGAACAACTGGAGCCAACAAACAGTACCAGTCATTGCAAGCCATGTGCACAGGCACGTACAGCTTGTGCAGCTATATGTAGGTACCCTGGAATCAGCCACGCATTACTCAGAAAAAAAAATTCTGTGCTTGCAATAAGTGCGTTTCCGTGATCGAGTTGCTCTACCGTCACTCTGCCCTACACGTACAACCATACCTATGACCATCAGCTTCCCTGCAAAGCCAATAGCAGAAACGCATCCAGGATAACGCATGGCGTTCGTTACCCGCACGTCAGATAGTACTGCCAGCCAATAACGCTGGCGTTCAATTTATTCTCTCGCAAACGGGACAGCCGCGAGCCCGTAAATCCTGCACGGCGCGCCAGCCGTGGGCTGACATATCGCTTATGAGCTCCGCTGGCTAATTCGATCTACGTTCCGAGCAATTAATAAACAATAACCGTCTGGCCGGCCACGTAGCAGCTACGGTACAAAATACACACCGGCGCACGCGAGGTCGGCGCTCGTGTGCACGCGAAAAAAATTCGGACGTTTTTATGCGCCCCCCAAGTTTTCTTGAACTTGTGATTTATCTAACGCTAAGGACACGGGCTGAATGGGAAAATGATTTCAGTCGCGTGGAACGGAGTCGCAATTACGTGCCGTTGAGTTTTCTTGCGCAGCATAAAAACTGGTGCGTTTAGCTCGGATTTACGGCCGGTCGAACTAAAGTACGCATTATCCGTATTAAGTACAGCTAGGCCGCATTCTGGACGAGAAGGAGAGCAAAAAACGTGACACGCACTTGCCCGCGCGGTAAATCGCACCCAGAGCTTTTGAACGGGAGCGATATCAGCGTCACGTAAACGAGACGTTTTGGAGACCCTTACGAGCAGTGATAACGACTCGAGATATCGGGCGTTACATCGTTAAATTTTTTCTGCAGCTTGTGATCCAAAAATATACATACCCACTAATTTCGACGCTCGCCAAGGTCTGCTAATTATAGCTGGTGCTGCTTTGAGTTTAGGGTTTTCGTGAGGAGAGCAAGGAAGTTACTTGGTCAAATTGCGAAGAGAGATCAGGCACGAGGATTAAATTAGTTCGTCACAGAGAAAATATATCGGCACTGACAAGCGGTATCGTCACTTGCTATCTGTATATGAATGGAGTTCTTGGGTCTAGAGAAATAGGCCAAAACACTATAGACCCAGGATTTTTTTTGTTAGGAAATAGTTTTTTATACGTACATTTTCTGTACAAACGTGTTTTTTCAGTTGTTCTTTTTGAAACAGTGAGCTTTATACTCTACAGGCGTAGCGTACAGGAAAGCTTTGCCGACGGCGGGCGATATTTCCTCGTGATACTTTAACGAGCTTAACGCACAGCATCGTAGTAAATGACGATTTTTTCGACGCATACGAAATACTTTATGCGAAAGGGTATATATTACTCGAAGTTGTAACTATATAGCTAGATTTTCTTTCGAGCCTAACGAACCCGCGGGATGATAAATCTACCACGGAGAATTTTTCTCTCACTCGGCTATCGCTTGCAATAATTTACAATTCAATTTCAACTCGTGAGTCTACTGCTGCCTCCTTTTCTTGCTCTGACTAACTTTTTTTTTTTTTTTTTTTTCATGAATACATAAATTTCTCTGCATAAATTGAACGTTATTTTACCAAAGAAATCTATTTACATGCATCAAAAAACACGGGTCTGTAGAAACAGGTCTGCGGTGTTTTATGAAGTGACAACTTTTTGAACATTTTTGTTTATTGGCCATTGAGTTTTATTAATGAAACATTTTTGTGTTCGTCATGGATTCGCGAGGATAAATTTTTTATAACTTTTATTTTCAATACAATCGAGTGACTCGACTTGATGGATTTTAAATTGTTTGTATTCCACGTCAATGCTAATTTTAAAGAGCAAATGTCACCAAATCTACAATAAATTAGTGGAACAGATGAAGAAAACAGATACCACACATATAATTAAAGAAAAAAAAGATAATTTGTATGAAAAGGAACGGAGAAACTTGGAAAAATAAATCAGCTCTCCAAAAAAAAGTACTCGTGTACCAGAAGTACTTGTACGACCGGAGATGAGCAGGAACAAACAGAAAAAAATGCCACTGTCGAGAGGGTGCCCAGATATACGACGCATTACACCGCGTGTAATTCAACCCTACATGCCCTCATATGTGGCCTCTTATGGTCCGGCAGTGGTGCACGTATGTATGCGATGTTTCGCATTCGGGGCGCGTATCTCGCACCTATATAAAACGCATAAAACGCGCACCCACCGGATCGCACGTCCTCCTCTCTCCCCCTTGCTCGTCAAGTGCAGTGCAGGTATATATACAGCGTCGAACCGAAGCGGGGCCTCCTGTGCGCGCTAGTTCGGGGCCATCCAATAAAAGTTGCCTCTCTGTTTGATGGCGTGGAGACTGAATCGGGCTAGCAGCGGTGGGCACCCTAATGCGTCATTACTGTCGAGCTTTACGGGTGCCTCGTATCATTTCACTTAGGTATATTGATATGGCAACGAGTTCTCCTCCCCCTCCTCCTCATCCTCTTTTGCTCCTTGTCGTCCGACGTCGGGCTAGGCTGCTTCCTTTAAATGTCTCCCGACGCCGAGAGCCCAGGCGAGAGAGAACGACTACGAGCCGCGGGGAGGCGGGAATCAGAATCTTTTCCCTTTCGCTCTCTGTATTATCGCTGCCTCGACTCCATTCACCGGTGCTGCTGCTGATGGCGATGATTATGATGATGATGCCTCGGATTATTGCCTTATTAAAATCCTCTTTGCACTTTGTTTTCTCTTCGCCACGAGAATCGGAGGAGCAAACGTCAGAGCTTGATGGTCACCGCTTTCATGACGGACGATTCCAGCGATTGATTTCCCCACGATGGACGATAATGCTTCAAAAAACGATCTTTATTCAGCTTTTATCTCAAACGGGCTTCACGAAATTTAGGGGATTCAACGTATTTGGATGGAACGGTAAACTTGACTTTAAAAGCTGTACTGAAATGAATTGTTTGTACTCGATGTTTTTAATTTGTTTGAGCACTTTATTGTCCACTGAAAGTCGTAGGAATTAAGCGTACCCATCACGCGTTTGTGTACAGTAAAATATTTTTATGTCTCCATTTGATATTGTCGTCGTCCAACGTTTTGCGTGCCAGGCGAAAATAATTTCTGCCGTTTCCCGGCTTGATGTTTACTTTATTTTTTCCTCCCAAGTCAAATACACACCAAGGCTTCAAGAGCCTGCAGCTTGACGGGGGACTTCTTCGTCTTTTCTAAAATAGTTTTTATTGCACTTGTAGTCCTAAAACGGTGCTTCTGCTTCTTCTAGTGGTGGTGGTGTGTGCGTGCTCGTAAAAAACGGTCGTAAAAAGGCGCAGCAGTCAGATTGCCTTTTACGATTCCGCTACCTGTTCACGAAAAATGAGGACAGGTATGTGTGTGTACATACGTGCACGTATTTGTGTGAAATTCGAGAAGAGGCGACGATCGGGCGTTTTTCACCACTGGGTCAGTAAAAATTTCGCCCCAACGTCCCGTTCTTGAATTCCTGCTTTTCTTCAGAAGGTGTCCTTGGATTGAAATTTCTCCTCCAGTAGTTTTGATGTTGCTGTTTTAAACAAATCAACTGCTAAACTAACAGATCCTTGAATTGTTCGCTATGCATTTCAAGGCTTCTCGTAAAACACTCGTTCTCCAAAACCGGGTTGAAAAAATTATCCATTATCCAGGATCTTGTTACTGTTCTTACACTACTATTTTTCATCATCCAGAGCACCAGAAATATTAAAGTCTCCAGATGCTATAGCACAGTAATTTTTAATTCTTTTTTTCCTCCACAGAACAAACAAACATCGACGGAGTCAAGAAAAATCACGTTCGCTTTTCAGAGCCAACTAAAGATCCGATTAAATTGCACTGTGGTACTTAATAAATATTTTTATCAGTACCGTCACCCAAACGACCAAAACATATACTCCACCCATCCCACCAATAACGCAACCCGCAAAACCACCTCAAATCTCGCGTCCAGTTGACCCCGCTATCATCCCAGCCACATTAACCGCAATCCAAAATAAATGTCGGCCACTTGAAGAATCTTATCTCAGTACGTAATACTCTCTCTCACACGGCCACAAACTTATTAGTATACTTACAAGTGCGTCGTCACAGTTTTTACTGTAGTACCACACAGCCGAGTCAAAGCGGCGGGCGAGGCGTCATTCTCGCCGTCCGACGGCAGGCGAAAGCTCGCGCTCGCGACTCCGCTATCGATTCGAACGTTGTCAGGTATTTATTTCCGATACGACGGAAGGGAATGATACAAGTTTTGCTGTTATTGGCGTAACGTCTGGACGAAAACTGAGCTACGTGGGAGTTAACCCCCTCTGCTGCGGGGCCCCCGACAACCCGACCGATTTCGTCCGTGTCCTTCGAACTCTAGGCCCCGGCAGTTGGACGGAATATAGAAAAAGAAAAAAGTGGCAAAAGAGAAAGGAAGAAAGGTACAGAGGAGCAATAGGAAGAGAGAAAAGTGGACCCTGTATTGCTAGACTCGTGCATTTGTGCGGTTTACGAGGTCACAGCCGAGCGTCCGACGGACCGTTGCCGCTGGGGCATCCCTTGTACCCCGATTCTTTGAGCCTTTTTCTTTCTTCCTATGCGTGTACAGTAGTCACCCCCTTTGACGTGCGCACGTGTTTTTTTTTCCTCCCTCTCGTGTACTGGGCATGGGTAACCTGCTGGTGACGCTTACCAACCCTTGGGTTAGCGGTAAAAAAAAAGCCGCACTGTTGCAGGAAGCCCGCACGGCCCATTGTAGGTTTTTACAAGGGGTCGTGGAGTTGCGGCCTTGGGATTCTCCTGCGGCAATTTTCGCGACGGGTCATCGCGCGACGCTGTTTTTTACGGGCTCCGACCGACTGTGTTTTACTTTATTTTTTCCCTCGGATGGAAGACTCATTCTCTGTTAGGCCAGCGTCTTTTTTAGCCCCGTAATGTGCAGATAGAAAAGAGACCTTGGCCGTCGCGGGATTTTTTTATTGGCTTCGAGAGAGAAAGAGAAGAAAAAGGCAATCGAGGGGAGCGTGGCTACTAAAGGTAATTGCGAGAAAGGTTTTTTTTTTCCAAACAGAGAAAGGGACAGGTAAAGAAGTGAAAAATGTAGAGCCGGGCAGTGTACGTGTGCCAGTCGGGTTGGCAAAGGAGCCAGTGGTGCGAAATATCGGCTGTACGTGTGGCGATTTTCAACGGCCCGTCCCGGGGCCGGCGGAAGAGATTTTCGCTCTCAAGAACAAAAGCGGCTTGGCTGGTTGTTTATCGCGATGTTAAAGGAAAGGCACAGCTGCAAGTTTTTCGCGCCACTGGGATTAAAAAAAAAGAGCGCTTGATAAATTTTATTTGGACAGTAAATGCTCGAGTTTGCATATTGCATGACACTCTGCGCACCAAATAGGATTGTTTCACGATTTGTTTGACAAAACGGGATGACGCACGTTATGGCCATACGATTACACTATCATAATTTAAGCGGCAAGACAAGTTTCAATCACCAGCGGAAGCTCACTACTCTCGAGAAGAGTATAGCTGATATTATTTCGACTTCAAAAGAAATAACGGCAGTAATAATTTTCAGACTTCCCGAGTGTTTTTTGCAGGCGTATAATCGCTTCATGCCAAGAGACAGCCACGACGCAATTGGCTATGTCCCCGCAACGAGCACGTGCATATGGATGGAAAAGAAGAAAAAAGGAAAAGAGCGGAGAAAGAGAGGGCATTGCCGCAACTCAGACGTGGTTTAATAAATCCGCAAGTTATCCGGACGCGATAAACAAGGTGGATTTTTGCGCCTCTGGAAAACCGCGAAAATACCCACATGTACGCCGGCGCAGGCGGGGGTAATCTCTACGGCCGCTCTGCGAAATCCGTCGGACGGGCGAGCGAGCTACGGCGCTGTTGCTGCGTCGGGTGATGAATTTAATTATTCCCGTCGCGTGTGTGAGCACGTATACGGGGGAAGAGCTGCCTCGCGGTGTATTTACGAGCTAGATAAAAGTTCGAGCGTCTAAGTTTTATCGCGGCCACCGATCGCCCCCCCCCCCACTTTTCGTTCTTCTCCGTGTGCGCCGTACGTACACGAGCGTGTGTTTCCGAAGAGCTTCGAGATTTTTATAATTGCCATGTAGCTGTTGCAGCGCGCAAGAGAAGCTTGGTATGTTATTTTTTTACGCAATGAAGAAATCAATTTCGCACGCCTACGCGTTGGTGCACCGATTTCACTTTTTTCCAGGGCAATAATGTACACCCACGGTGTCCCATCAACTCGCGTATAAGGTGAGCATTGCAAGTAACAACTGTCTCGACGCGTGTTTTTTTTTAATCGATCCTTGAAACTCGCGGATTGAGATATCTCGTCGTGCACGCGTAAGCTTTCAAGACAAAACGCAAGCAAGGAGGAGAAAAAAAGGGATCATACGCGAGCGAGTCATCTAGATAACGTAGCGGGGACTTGATTGACAATTGCGATTAGAGCAGCCACGCGAACTTTACGTCAGTCCGAGGGGAATAGGAGGGAGATCGCTTGGAGATTATTTTTCACGGGCTCTGCGAAACTTTTGTCTGCCGTAAAGTTCCCTTTTTTTTTCTTCCAGTTCCTCTTCTTTACACCGGGACATAAATTTCCTTTTCCATCTCGTGGGCTCGTTGAAAAATCATCATTTTTACGCGAATACGTTGCATCACGAATGGGCGAATCAACGTTCTCGCGGTGAGAATTTTACGCAAAGCGGTAATAAGGATACGAGTGTAAGATAATCTTTACTGGAAACGAGGTCAGAAGTTTGATTTCGGGAATAATAACTAGTTGGGTGGAGGTGCGCGATGCAGTACTATCGGAGCGCCCTAGAATTGATTGTAGCGCATAAACTGAGGAACCGCATCTATTCGGCTATCGATACACCGTCACATTATGCAACCGATGGGTACATGGAGCAGTGCAAAATTAATTAATGGGAAAAGCCTCCCGTACGTCAAACTGACAGATCGGCTGTTCATTGTATAGAGACACCTAAGTTTGACTTCCATAAAGGAAAAAAGCTTCATTCGGAAAGATGTGCATATCCCAGGGAATAATACAATGTTTTTGCGGTTCAATATACCGAAGAGATAATGCTAATACACTAGGTATACTGATAATGATTTATCAGGTTCCAAGTATAATCCACAAAGGTAAAAATCAGCCTATCACCATGGAACAACGAGCACGTGCTCTCTCTCTCGTGAAACGCGATATACGCGTCGAAATTTCATTAGAAAATCCGAACGGCGCGTACCGTACATTAGACCGTGTCCGTTTGAATTTCAAGCTCGCAAAGAGAGGTAAAGAGATACGTGCAATAACGCACGCCATTCAACTCTCGCTCGCTATATTCGAAGAGGTGTTCCGCGCACCACTGCAGGCCGCGATAATTAGCAGAAAACCAAAATGATGTTGGGATGGTGGGGCCTCGTGGTGTACGAGCGATGGGTAAAAGGTCGGGAGGGCAGTGTTTTCTCTTTAACGGCCGGCAGTACGTTTTTGCGCTGCAACGGAGTAGCGTACACGGTTCTTGACTCGTACGTCAATAGATGGGCCATACGGGGGTGGAGCACAACAGCGACATCGCGGTCCATAACGCCCGGCAGTAACTAACCGGATTCCAGCCACCCGCCACCCGCTACGACTTTTCCTCCCCCACCTCTCCACCCCAAACGCCCTATGGGGAATCTATGGGCTCATATTCGTACGCCACTGCTACTCGGTCGTACACTAGCCAAATGGACACGGCAATAACGGCCCGTTAACGCTAATTCGCGGAATTCTGATTGACGACGCGGTCGCAGGAAGCGAGCCAGCAGCAGCTCTCTCTCTCTCTCTCTCTTCCATGCACGCATCGAACGAGCTTGCAGCGGTGTTTGCGACGAGCTTTGCACGCCGACGGGGAAACGTGAGAGTTCGCGAGGTCGCTGTGCTGCGTGGCCCCCCATCGAGGTTGCTATCGATTTTGGAGTTAACGCAACCGAGTTTCGGCTATTTTCAGGGAATAAAATTATTCAAAACTACCCTGCTCGTTTGTTAATGAATATTCAGATCGGTAGTTTCGGAATTATCGAGAGAACGAACATTTTGCAGAAAAGTATTAGGTTAAAGAGCATCATCGCCCAATGAAAAGCTCGCCCGTGGAATAGGACGGAATACAGAGAGGGGTGCAATCGATTCGGCGAAACAGAGTCAACATTGCCCCAGAGACAATCGCCCTCGAAGAGTTGGGCGAAGGATCGAAAAAGAGGCTCGAATGGTAGAGAAAAAAAAAACAGAGAGAGCGCACCCACATGGAGGCTGGAGCCCCTCGGAGCATACATCTCTGCGCCTCCCTTAATTTCGCTTCGTGTACACCATCACGTCCCGAAAGTGCGTATCGTGTATTCCCCTCTCGTATCGCGAGAGGTGAACCTCGAGATAATGGGGTGACGATCGAGATGGAGGTAAAGCCCAAGCCTCCCCATCGGTGGAAGCTTGGCAGCTTGATTTAGCACCACTCGCCACTGCTTCCAGCAACCCCCTCCCCTGGAAAAATTTCGATCGAAGTAGTAACGCCTGCTTCGTTTATCCGAGCTCCATCTAGGCCCGATTTTCTTGGGCAGCCGGGCGTGCTTTCACACGGAAAAAATACGAGGGACAGAGGGATCCTTGTTAGGGCTACTGGCAAACTTTTCCACCGCTCTCGCTTGCTCGGCGAGACCCAGATAAATATACACCAGTGGGTGTATTATCTCTCGCTCGTTACCGAAACTCGCACGGTCCGTATTATCGTACGTGGAATTCCACCCATTTCGAGCTTTCTATCTTTCGCCACTCCACCTTCCTTGGAACTCCCTCAAAAAGTGCATTTA